CTAAGTTGATGGGCATTTAGGTTGTTTCCACATCTTGGCGATTACAAATTGAGCTGTGATAAACAATCTAGTAAAAATATCTTTTTGATAGAATGATTCTTTTTCTGCTGAGTATATGCCTAGTAATGGGATTGAGAGATCAAATGGGAGGTCTAATTTCTATTCTTTGCGAATTCTCCATACTTTGCAAAAAGGCTTGAGTTTGCAGTCCCACCAACAGTGTAAAAGTGTTCCCGTCTCGCAACATCTACATGAGCATATGCAACTTTGGGTCTTTGTGATGTGGCTATTCTCACTGGAGTGAGGTAGTATCTCAGGGTGGTTTTGATTTGCATTTCTCTGATGATTAGGGGCTAGGGGCATTTTTTCATGTTAGCCCTTCAACTATCTTCAACTAGAGGCATATAAATAGATAGAAGGTTCTGCAGGTATCTCTTGCCCAGTGATAGATGGGATTGTTTGCTCTATTTTTGTTAATTAATTTGAGTTCTCTATAGATCCTAATTATCAGGGCTTACAACCCACCCACTTGCTGTGTAAGATGGGGGCAGAAAGCCACTTTCTAGTTGCAAAAGAGATTTGTTCCTGTGTTCCTGACTTGTTTACCCGCAATCAGGGCCTGGTTAGAAAATGATCGTGATTTAGAAGTGTACCATTCTTGCCCCATTCATCCCAGCTTTTTAGTTAATACTCATCTTTCTTTCCAAAGGACTCAGAAAATGTCTTCACAAACTTAAAATATTATGGATATTGAAAAAGATATTGTAAGTGAAAGAAAAGCACAATGAAAGTGGTTTTACTCCCTTTAATCTTTTCACTCCATTTAGAAAAAATAACTTGATTTCAAGCAATCTGTTTATCAAATAGGTTGATAATTAGTTGTTGATGGATTAAAGGAAATTTAACCAAAGCAATCTATATTGTTGCAGAAAAACACAAGGCTAACTTTTGGGCATCTAGTGGACCCCAACCTACGACAGACGTCAGTAAGGCAGATGGCACTGCGGAAATCATGAAACTTACACCAAACTTAGTGCACAAGACTGGAAACCTGTAAGGGCATAAACATGTGCCTGGTAGCAGCATGAAAACAATGTAGCAGCTGTCCTGTTTCTCAGAATCTTTTTATTGGGTACATAGCAGAGTATATGTGTAAGACTCCACAACAGTCATTAGTCAGCAGTCAAGGTTAAGAATGAGAAAGGGGAGATTATAACCCCCGGGAAGGTTGAGTTAAGGGTAAGCAAAGCTATAGGGTAATGGAAGATCTGAAGTGGTCAGATAATAATGCAACCAGAGAGAGAGGGGAAAGCAAATCTCATGTCCACAGCCAGACATCTCAGCTTCTCCAGCCTCTAGTTGATGGCCTCAGCTCACTTGCACTGCTGATTTCCCCATCCAGCGAGAGGCATATAAACATTTCCCTGACTGGGCACCTTCACATTCCTTCCTTCTCAATTAGGAGTATAGGGATGTCCCATCTGCAGGCTTTCCCCTGTCTTTTGAAAGGCACAGGGTATCTCAGCCAATCTATTCCCACAGCTAACACTGACATAAGTCATGCTATATGAACATACAGCTGTTTTTAAAAAGGTAACTATTAATGTTGAAATGTAGCACCTCACCTGGTAGGGCCACCAGTTGTGCTATGGTAAGCAGGAGAAAATTGTGAACTAACAAGTTTAGATTGAGGAGTTCTGCAGGGTTTTTAATTATTATTATATTTATTATTATTGTTATTATTTTGGACCTAGGCACTTGATTGAGTTACCTTGGGAGAGCTTGTGCAAGCAAACAACTGATTTTGAACAGCATCAAGGGGCCAGGATTGAGCCACTGGGTGGAGGGGAGCTTTCATTGTTCAGCTGCAGGCCAGGACAGCCATTGGGGGAGAGCTGCCTTGCAGGCTCAGCCCTCCAGGTCCTTGTGTGAAGCCAATTCTGGTATGTCTGATAAGTGGGGTAACCACTTCCGGAGAGATCCCAGTGACACATACTTTCCTGGGAAAGGCACTTTGTAGCCAAGGGATGCAGTTTGGAAAGGTCAAGCCACGTCTATGCACACCACAATTATAGTATTAAAGTATTTGGGGTTTGCCCAAAAATTCCCACCCAGGAATTTTATACATTCAAACTTTTCTTCTCGCTTTCTCTTTTTATTTTATTTATTTATTTTAGTGTTCTTGTCTTTCAGATTGAAGAATTCCTTTAGCAACTCCTGTGTGATGGGCCTGATCATGGAGAATTCTCTCAACTTTTGGCAAAGACTTTACTTCTTCTTCATATTTGAAGGATACTTTTGCTGTATATAGTATTCTTGAACAACAGTCTTTTCTCCAGTACTTTGAAAATGTTGTCCCACTTCATCTTGGCCTGTATGGTTTCCTTTGAGAAGACTATTGCCAGATGAATTGGAGCTTCTTTATGTGTTATTTGCTGCTTTTCTTTTACTACATTTAGAACTCTCTCTCTCTGTCCTTGACTTTGAGAGCTTGCTTATAAGTTTTGGAGAAGTCTTATTTGTGTCAAATCTGATTAGTGTTCTCTGACCTTCCTGTACTTGGATTTTTATCTCATCTCAAGTTTTGGAAAGTGTAAATAATGTTGGAGGAAAATAGAGGAAGAATTGTCCTAAATTAGGGACTAGAACTCAAATGAAATTTGGTGGAAAAAACTGATAAAAGCTTAAGGATGTCACTTGTGATGAACCATGAATTCCAGAGAACACAGTGGAAATTGTAGGAATTGGAGAAGGACTAGAAAAAGAACAGAAAAAGGCATAGGGAATGCTTTACAGTGACTAGGGTTTGGGAAGTAAGAGTGAGTTATAAGTAATAATTTATGTAGAAAGGAATAAAATACAATTAGTAATAAGTGGTGCTGGTGATTAGAATCCAAAGAGCCACTTGATAAGGTATTTGGATAAATAAACAAAAATTATTATCCAAAATTATTTATCCTATTTTACTGTGTACAAACTAACACTGGGACTTGTATGGACTTTTGTACCATAAATTGAATTTATAGGTAAAGATTTTTTGTTTGTATTACTTGATTCATTATTATTCCCTCCTTCTGCTGATTGTTTTTCCAGGTCAGAGTTGTGAGAAACATCATATAATTGATATTGATTTCTTTCATCATCATTATTTATGTAGTTTCAACAAGGTATTTTATATCATAACTCATCTTTAAATGTATCTACCAATTAAAAATTAAGACAATGTTCCCACTGGGTAGTTCAGAGATTATTTTGGCTTGTGGGCAGTGGTTTGAATGGGATAAGGGAGTAGGATACAGACATACAAGTAAAAAACACCAGAAAGGCCCTCTTCAACTAACTGAATACACAAAATATGGCAGGGATCCTCCATTGGGAACCATACATATCATTCATTTATACATCCATCCTGAGTACTATATGACTTAAAACATTCCTACTTTTTCCCCACACATAATTTTAATTACTTACTACTTTAGAATTTTTGGCCTATTTTCCAATTGCCTATCTACTCATATGGATTTACTTGAAATATTAGTCTTGTTCAGAATGACATGCTCAGGTTGAGAAATATGATTTCCAGACAACCTTAACAGCTAAGTGGTCATATGAAATACAGTTCTGCAAGATGAGATAAAATTAGAAATGAATAGGGTGGTGCTTCCAGAATTGCATTTTTTTTCTTAATGAAACAAACAAATGTCAAAAATCTGTGATTAACCTCCATAATCTGCCCCAACACCTCTTTGTGCCTGACAACAGCTGAGAAGAAAGGCATAAAAGCCTTGATTTCTGATGGCTGTGAGGACTGTACTGGCTGCAAGCTGCGTTTCTCAATGCATCTCCAATATGGTCAAATATTACATAAGAGATGGTCACTATAGCTTATTCTGTGTTGTAAGAACAAACCAGTTTAATTTGGTTTTTCCTCCACTATCCCCATATGGACAAGAGACCTTTCAGAAATTTAAATTTTTTAACTTGGCTATATTATTTCTTCCATGTTTTAAGGCTCACTCACCACTGTCAGCCACTGTCACATGTGGAGCTATTGCCTTATGATACCTTTTTGCCTCCCTCAAAGTCCCCACTTTGTCACAAGATTAGAGCTGGCTTTCCTTAAATGCCTAGGACATAATTAGGTTTAATTTTAGTATTCTAGAATATGAATAGGTTTGAATTAAGAAGTGATAGGCAAACGCTTTTGAAAAGAGTTGGTACATAATTCATATCAATTCCCACAGGGCAGTATCTCAATTTAAATCCATGCTGACTAAAACTCTGGTATTTCTCCAACCAGATGCATTTGTTTAAGTTATTCTTATCAATTGCAATACTTTTAAGCTATCACAAAACGAGGACAGTAAGTTAAATGTATAAGAAATAAATAACAGTTGTAGAAAAAATGGGAAAATGTTTCCTTAAAAGTAAATAGCACTTAGAATAGGGAATAAGATGGACAAGAACTTAATCGTTGAAAAACGGCACTATGACTAGGGACATTAGGAAGGCCACAGATAATAAACAACAATTTAAACATCAAGCTTTTAATTTTCACTAATTTATATTCTGTTCTGAGATTTATATTTTTTTAATAACCCATTGATTAGATTCTTTTTTTTTTTTTTT